ATAAAACATAAAATTTATGACATACTATACATTCAAAGGCACAAATAGGTAGAAAGTAAAAGAACAGAAAAAGGTATATAAACAGTAAAGGCACAAATAGGTAGCAAGTAAAAGAACAAGCTGAAGTGGCTATTCTAGAAGAAAGGATAACCTCAATGTCCTGTATCAGTGAAAATAAATTAAATTAGTAGTTAAAAACATTTTAACAAAGAAAATTCATGCCCATATAGTTTTATTGGAAAATTCAACTGATCATTTTAAAACACAATAATAATACAAACATTATGCAAATTATTCCAGAAAATGAAAGTATTAATAACACTTTCCAACCCATTTTATGAGTTCAAGCAGTATCCTGAAATCAAGCCAGACAAAGACATTGTAAGAAAAACATTACAGAAAAATGTCTCATGGTCATAAATGTAAAAATCCTCAAGAAAATATTAGCAAATCAAATCCAACAATATATTAAACAGAGAATACGTAATGACCAAGTAGTATTTAAAATGGGAATAGAAGGTTGGTTTAATATTTGAAAATCTATCAATGTAATTCAGCATATAAACAGACTGAAAAAGAAAAGTCATCTCAACACTTAAAAAGTATTTGACTAAATTTAACTTGCATAAATAATAAAAATTCTCAGCAAATGTGAAGTAGAAATTTATTTAACCTGAAAAAGCATATACCAAAAAAAATGGCAGATGATATCATTAATGGTGAAAGATTGAGTGCTTTCCTTCTAAAATAGAGCATAAGGCAAGTATGTGTACTGTCATCACTTCTACTTAATATTGCCCTAGCCAATGAGGTAAGGCAAGAAATGAAAAGAATGCATATCAGAATAAAAAGTAATGAAATGAACTCCATTCAGACTAAAACTTAAGCTCCTAGAAGTAATAAACTTTATAATGTTGCTAGAGACAGGGTCAATATGTTTAAAAACCAATGGCATTTTAATTCTATATAATATCAATTGGAAATTTAAAAACCTGTATCACTTACAATAGCATCAAAAATATCAAGTAAGTTAGCCTACCCAGTTTGGCTCATTGGTCCGGTCAAGGGCATATGCCGGGATTGATCCCCAGTAGGGGGGTTGTGCAGGAGGCAACAGATCAATGATTCTCTCTCATCACTGATGTTTCTATCTCCCTCTCCCTTCCTCTCTGAAATCAATAAAAAGATATTACAATATATATATATCAATTAAGTATAATTTGCAAGATCTACATGCTGAAAACTACAAAACATTAAAGAAATAAAGAAGACCTGCATAAATGGAGCAATATACTGTACTCACATATTGGAAGATGCAATATTAAGTCTCAAAATTAAGATACTGAATCTCCCCAAAATAATTTACATATTCAACACAATCCCAATAAAAATTCCAGCAGGATATTTTGCAGAAATCATATGCTGATTTAAGAAAAATCAAAACTTATTTCTGTCTGGCCAGTGTGGCTCACTGGTTGAGTATTGACCTATGAACCAGGAGATCAAGGTTCGATTCCCCATCAGGGTGCAAGCCCTGGTCAATCCCAGGAGGGGGCATGCAGGAGGCAGCTGAGCAATGATTACTAGTGTGTATATGTATGTGTGTGTGTGTGTGTGTGTATATATATATATATATATATGTGTGTGTGTATATATATACATATATATGTGTATATATATATACACACATATATACATATATATATACACACATATATATACACACACATATATACACACACACACATATATATATATATATATATATATATATATATAAACTTATTTGTTCAAATGTTTATAGTGCCTTTATTTCTAATCACTCATAACTGGAAACAACTCAAATGTCCTTCAACTTGTAAACAGATAAATATTTGTGGGGCATCCACACAATAAAACACTATTCAGCAATAGAAATTAACTACCGATATATGTAACAACATGGATAAACTTCCAATGCATTATGCTAAAGGAAAGAATCCAGACTCAAAAGACTATATACTGCCGAAACGGGTTTGGCTCCCTGGATAGAGCATCGGCCTGCGGACTGAAAGGTCCCAGGTTCGATTCCGGTCAAGGGCATGTACCTGGGTTGTGGGCACATTCCCAGTAGGAGATGTGCAGGAGGCAGCTAATCGATGTTTCTCTCTCATCGATATTTCTAACTCTCTATCTCTCCCCCTTCCTCTCTGTAAAAAATCAATAAAATATATTTTTTTTAAAAAAGACTATATACTGTATGACATTCTGGAAAAGTAGCTGCCAAGAGCTGATTAGGGAAATGACTTCAAAGAACATAAATAAATTTTGAGGGGTGATAGAACAGTTCTATTTCTCAACTGTGGTGATAGTTATAAAACTGCATATGTCTGTCAATTTCACCAAAGGGGTGAATTTAACTATATATAAATTATAGCTCAGTGAAATGGTTGCTAAAATTTTATTATTTTCAAAAATATATTCAATGTAAAATTTCAAAAATCATCCCTTAAGAGTCTAGAAATAAAATGTATAATTTCCAAACCAAGGGAAGAAAGTATATAAATTGAGAAACAAGAGAAAAAACCCACCCTATTTTTAGAAAGGCAAAAAAGGAGAAAAAAAATCACAAAGAGTAGAATCAAAAAGTAGGACAGTAACAACACAAAAATATAAATAATTACAATATAGGTAAGGCAACTGGTCTGAGCCCACATATTAAAAACAAAATAAAGTCAGACTGGGTTAAAAACAAAGTCCAGCTACATGCTATTTGTAAGAGGTACACCTAAGCATAAGTACACAGAAAGGTAGAAGGTAAACAGATGAGAAAAGATATATTAGACAAACATTAACAAACATTTGCATAGCTATAATATTTACATAGATTACAAGATGAAAAGCCTAATAAGGGGAAAAGAGGTTCATTACCTAATATCAGTTTTAATTCATCAGAAGGTACAGCAATATATACAACTAGAAGCCCAGGGCACGAAATCACGCAGCCCTGCACGACCTGACCCCCTCCTCCCCTGAGCCACTGCCACTAGCATTTGTTTTGCTGTGTGGGCACCTGGGGGGGGGGGGGGCCTCGCAAGCTCATTTGTGCCTGGCTGGTCCCCATGCTTCTCTCCCCAGTGTTGAGTGTCTGAGCCATTGGTTGTTCCAAACCATTTGGCTCTTTCCCTTAAGTAACAGCTTTTACCTTCTGCCTCAATTCCTCTCCCAGCTTGTGCACTTCCCCCACACGCCGCCTCCCTCCCGCTGTAGGCCACGTGCACCCCTGCCCCTCCCTCCCCCCCCCCCGCCGCCCCCCGTGGCAGGAGAGCACCCCTGCTCACACGTGGGGACCCGTGCTGCACTCCCCACCCCCGCCCGCGTGGCACCCATCCCCTGCGCTCTCTTCTCTGTGCTGCCAATGGAGAGCCAGCTAGGCTACCAGCTACAAAGGGACTTCCCCAAATCCTGGAGTCCCGCCCCACGGGGTCGGTGCCCCGGAATTCCCCAGATGCATCTCCTGGTCAAGTCCCTGTCGGCGCCCACAGGGATGCAGCATCAAGTCCCTGCCCACCCGAGCACCACGAGAGGCCTTTTATGATATAGATATGCAGCAATATATACTAGTACATATAGTTGGTACACTTAACCCTTTGCACTCCGCTGTCCCCTCTCAGGGGACATCGGAATTCTAGCATATCACTCGGATGTCCCCTCTCAGGGAACATTGCAGTTTATTAGTGATTACGGGGAATTGAGTTATTTCAACGCAACTTTTTGAGACATGCATGTTTCCCTGAAGTTTTATCTTGAAATGGCACAAGAAATTAAATCAAAATATTGTAAAATTACTAAGATATATACAAAAAATGTCAGCGGGTTTTGTGTCGGATTAAACAATAAACTGCATATTCCCGATGTGGGACAAAGAAAACGGGACTGCATTGTGTGTTCTAACAGGAAAACACCTGGTGGCAGGCGTCAAACCACTTATTACTGTCAAACATGCACTAATCAGCCTGCAATGCATATTTGGGAGTGTTACAAAACTTATCATACTGTACAAAATTATAAACAATAAAATATTGGTTTTTTTGCAAATATACATTCCTCGATGTCACCCAATTCATATAAGTCCAATATCATTATAATACGTCACTTGGTTCCAAAATTATACTAAATAATACGAGGGTCTGTAAATGCACGTTTCCGCCGCAAAGTAGCGTCGAGTAGCTGGTAGCCAATGTCCAGAATGGTTCGGAGTGCAAAGGGTTAAAATAACCGCAAAGGATACAAAGCAAAAACTAGACTTAACACTTGGAGTGCGGGTGAATTTCCCGCCAAAATATAAGATGGCTCTGTCTTTTGGTTTTGTTCCATCCACCAAAAGGGTGGATTACAAACAAATATTTGGTAATACGCAGTTACAATCGGCCCGAGTTTACACGTTTCCCGCACTCCACCGCAAATCTATATGAACCGAGTTAAAGACGGCTCCCGCGGAGTACGCGCAATTCACGCGAGCCGACTTAACTCGTTTCCCGCACTCCAAGTTTACATAGGGAAATGAACAAATCCATATTTTAATGGAAACTTTAGCATAAATATCTTAATTATTACAAAGGAACACTGTCATAATTTTCTGAAGATACAGAAAATCAGATCATACAACTAACAAATTTGATCTAATGGGAAAATATTTAGACCTGTGCTCAACAGTGAGAGAAACAATATATTTAAATATATATTTTTTTGGTGCTCGGTGAGCACCAAAGCCCCACCGAGGCAAGTCTTGCTCCATAAGGGTGTCCTGCACAGCAACTCTCCTACTGTAGTCGTAGCTGGTCCTCACAGCCAATTAATTGGCCTGGAGGTCAATTCCTCTCAGTGACACAAACAGCAATCAAGGCTCAACTACAACAAGACTGTACACACAGCCCACAAAGGGGCGCACCTAGTAAATTACCTACAAAAATTGATCACATACTAGCCATAAAGCAATAATCAACAAATGTCAAAGCACTGTGCTCACTCTGGCAGCACATATACTAAAATTGGAACGATACAGGGAAGATTAGCATGGCCCCTGTGCAAAGATGACACGCAAATTAGTGAAGCGTTCCGTATTTAAAAAAAAAAAGTCAAAGAACTGGTTCAGGCTACCTTAACTGCCTGTAATGCAATTAAGCTTAAAGCTAACGATAAAAAAAGCTAAATTAAAAATCACACATGAATGGATATTTTAAATAACTGATAAATTAAAGAAGCTATAACTTATATTTAAAAAATTAGGTAAAACTACTAAATATAAACCTGAATAAACCACATATCCAACTTAAAAGCGAGAAAACAATATAATAAATTCAGACAAAGCAAAATAAAAACAGAAATAAACCAATTTTTAAAAAATAAAAGCCTAGAGGAGAACCAAGATGGCGGCGTAGGCAAACGCCTATACTCGCTGCCTCCCACAACCACATCAAAATTACAACTAAAATACACAACCACCATCATCCAGAACTGCCAGAAAGCTGGCTGAATGGGAAGTACTACAACTAGAGAAGTAAAGAAGAAAGCATACTGAGACTGGTAGGAGGTGTGGAGGCACAGAAGGGGATGGTCCGGCACCCATGTGTGCTGCTTTTTTAATTGGTAAGGAGATCGCCTCTGCAGAGGCCACACAGAGAAGCAAGGGGTCCCAGCCCCACACCAGACACCCAGCCCAGGGTCCCAGAGCTGGGAAGAGAAGTCCCTATGGGCAATAAGAACTACAGGCTGTAAAAAGCAGTACGGATTGGGGCTGAGTTACATATAGGCTGCTGGAGACCCAGCTGCTCCTCTTAAAAGGCCGACACCATGAAATGAATTTAAAAGCTCCGGCTTCATCTGAGCTCCAGTGCTGGGCGAGGCTCTGGGGGACCCGACACATGAGGAGAAACTGAACTGTCTGGCATCAGGGTAGGAACTCGGGGGAGGCTTTCTTCCAGAGGGAGGTGCTCCCAGGGCTGACTGGCAGCCATTTCTGTTTGCTTCACCCTGGTGATTCCCTGAGACCCCGCCCCACCCAATTTACAACCCCACCCAAGTTGTGGGCAACTGTTTTTGCATATAAATGGCCTGTCCTTTCTCAGGCTAAAATCTTTCAAACAAGCTGCAGCTGGGTCAGGGATCCCAAAACCTATCAATAAAGGGCCCAAGACCGGCAACAGCACCACCTTGCCTTGCTTCACAGCTGGGCTTCGTCTGGGCACTTCCAAACCCCATACAAAGAGGAAGAATCTGCTCCTGCTGGGTGGCCCCAGCCAGTGGCTGACTTTGCACCTCCCTGGAGACCCAAGAGCCAGTGGTCAGTGTGAGACTATACCAGATTACAACTCTTCACATCCATAAGCAACACACTCAAGAGGCAGACTCAGTGAGCACCAAAGCCCCACCGAGGCAAGTCTTGCTCCATAAGGGTGTCTCCTGCACAGCAACTCTCCTACTGTAATCGTAGCTGGTCCTCACAGCCAATTAATTGGCCTGGAGGTCAATTCCTCCCAGTGACACAAACAGCAATCAAGGCTCAACTACAACAGGACTGTACACACAGCCCACAAAGGGGTGCACCTAGAGTGTCCACATCAGGTGACTGGGGAGAATAAACCACTGGGCCCTATACTGGGCACATACTACACAGGTCCACTCTATCAACTCAAGGAGACTTAGCAGCTCTACCCAATACATAAAAACAAACACAGGGAAGCAGCCAAAATGCGGAGACAAAAAAACATGTCACCAATTAAAGAAATGGAAGAAAGCAAACTATCAGATAGAGAGTTCAAAACCATGGTTATAAGGTTACTCAAGAATCTTTTAGAAACCTCCAAAGGACTTAGTGAGGCTTTCAAGGATCTTAGTGAGAATGTCAAAAAAAAAAAAAGGAAAAGGACCAGTGAGAAATTAAGCATACACTGACTGAAATAAAGAATAATATAATGGGATTCAACAGTAGACTAGAGGATCCCAAGAATCAAATCAATGCTTTGAAATATGAGGAAGCAAAAAATACCCAATCAGAAGAGCAAAAAGAAAAAAGAATCCAAAAATATGAAGACAGTGTAAGGAGCCTCTGGGACACTTCAAGCATACCAACATTCATACTATGAGGGTGCCAGAAAAAGAGAAAGAGCAAGATATTTAAAACCTATTTGAAGAAATAATGACAGAAAAGTTCCCCTGCCAGGTGAAAGAAATAGACTCACAAGTCCAGGAAGCACAGAGAATCCCAAACAAGAGGAATCCAAAGAGGACCATACCAAGACACATCATAATTAAAATCCCAAGGGCAAAAGACAAAGAGAGAATCTTTTTTTTTTTTAATATATTTTATTGATTTTTTTACAGAGAGAAAGGGAGAGAGATAGAGAGTCAGAAACATCGATGAGAGAGAAACATCGATCAGCTGCCTCCTGCACATCCCCCACTGGGGATGTGCCCGCAACCCAGGTACATGCCCTTGACCGGAATCGAACCTGGGACCCCTCAGTCCGGAGGCCGATGCTCTATCCACTGAGCCAAACCGGTTTCGGCCAAAGAGAGAATCTTAAAAGCAGCAAGAGAAAAGCAATTAGTTACCTACAAGTGAGTGCTGTCAGCTGATTTCTCAACAGGAACTACGTAGGCCAGAAAGGAGTGGAAAGTGATGAATAGCAAGAAACTACAACCAAAATTACTCTACCCAGCAAAGCTATCATTTAGAATTGAAGGTCAGATAAAGAGCTTCACAGATAAGGAAAAGCTAAAGGAGTTCATCACCACCAAACCAGTATTATATGAAATGCTGAAGGGTATTCTTTAAGAAGAGGAAGAAGAAGAAACAGGTAAAGATAAAAAATATGAACTACAAAGTGGCAATAAATACATATATATCAACAATTGCATCTAGAAATCAAACAAATAAAAAATCTGATGAACAGAATAAACTGGTGAATGAAATAGAATCAAGGGCATGGAAATGGAACAGACTGACGATTCTCAGAGGAAAGGGGATATGGCGGGGTGCTGGAATATGCATGTATGCATTACCTATGGACACAGACAACAGGGTCGCGAGGGCCTGGGGTGGGGTGGGAGGGAGGTATGAGGGGGGAAAGAGGGATCTCTGTAATAATCTCAACAATAAAGATTAATTTTTAAAAAGATAATAAAATAAAAGCCAACAATGAGTAACTGGAAAAAACAACATAACTGACAAGCCCCTGAGGAGAGTCTCAGAAAAATAAAAGGCACAAATAATTAATCTTAAAAATGAAGAGGGGGGTAATACAGCTATAAATAGAACAGTCTAAAACTATATGAAGAAAATATATGAACATTTTAATGCAAGTAAGTTTGAAAACTTAAAAAGCTGACAAATTCCAATAGTACAGATACAGTGCAACAAAATTTACTCATTAGCAATTAGAAAACCTCAATAGTTCTTTTAACTGCAAATCCTAGTAAATGAGAATAATATAATTATCTCAATAGATGAAGTAAAGCATTTAATAAAATTCAACACTTGACTAAAGATTAGCAAAGCAGAAATAAAAGAAAATTTCTGAAACTAAAAAAAATTTTTTTATCAAAAATACTGAGCAAATATTGTTTTTTGGTTTTTGTTTTTCAATCCTCACTGGAGTATATTTTTCCATTGATTTTTAGAGAGAGTGGAAGAGAGATGGAAAGACAGAAACATCGATGTGAGAGAAACACATTGGCTGGTTGCCTCCTGCACAAGCCCTGACCAGGGCCCAGGGGCAGGGGAGGAGCCTGCAACCAAGGTACATGCCCTTAACTGGAATCAAACCTGAGATCCTTAGGTCCCAGGCTGATGCTCTATCCACTGAGCCAAACCAGCTAGGGCCAGAGCAAATATTCTTAATGGAAAAACATTAAAAGCATTTCCTTTAAAGTTTGGAATAGAAGCATGCCCAATTTAATGCTTCTATTCAATACTGTACTAAACACCTTAGTTAGTACATTAAAATAAGAAAAAGGTTATTATATATATATTTATATAACATATAAATGTATAATATTATGTTATATGTATTTATATATATATGTATATATATAATAACTTAAAAGGAAAAAACAAAACTATCGCTATTAGGAGATGAAATTATTACCTGCATACAAAACCCAAAAGAACTTGCAAACAAGTTTTTAGAAAGAATGAGAATATAATCAAAAGGCTTACTATAAAATCAATTTTTCAAAAAAATTGTATCTGTATACCACAAGAGTAAATAAGTAGGAAAAGAAACTTTTAAAATAAAAAGACATGGTTTATAATTAGAAAAAAAAAACTTATAAAGTACCTAGAATCAGCCAACAAAAGATGTGCTCGACCAGTGTGCAGAAAGTTATAAAATTTTATTCAAAGACATTAAGATCTAAATAAATGTAGAGAATGCACAAATTCATGGATAATTAAGATGTAAATTCTTCCTAAATTAACAGACATTCAATGCAATTCCAAAGTCACAACAGCTTTTATGAAAGGTAACAAGTTGTTTCTTATGTATGAGGAAGATCCAAGACAACCAAACTGCCAATGTATGAGGAAGATCCAAGACAACCAAACTGCCAAGATAATCTATATAAATAAAAATTTAAATGTTCATTTGTTCAAAATCTTAAATCTCCGAAAGTTCTTCACCGATTGCTTTGAAATTCTGATACAATGTTGAATTAGAATACGCGCGTGTTTTTATATACTTATATACCTACTATTATATAGATGTCACACCTGTGACAGGTAAAAACATGCTTTTTTTGAAAAACAGCACCCTCTGTTGGACGTAAAAGCAACACACACTATACTAAATATTGTACGATTCCATTTCAATGTTTCTGTTTACAATTATAAAGTGTAGATAAAATTAACTACAAATATGCGTGTCCAGCTGCAAAACGATCGATCAGCTGAGATATTCTCACATCAATTGCTGGAAATTGGGAACGGAAAGGTGCCGGTTGATCTGACCTCAGGACGAATTTCATTGCCTCATAACTTCTGCAATTTAGTGACGTCAAAAGAAGAATTGGTTGAAAAAGTATTTCCCAATATTCAAACCAATTATAAGAATCACAATTGGCTGAGTA